CTTGAGACTATTTTGTAAAATACAAAAAGATATTCCAAGGAATTAGTGCATACCCCGATGTCCATTTAGGGTTCTATCAGTATTAATAACTCTCCTAAATTGCTGACTTGGCATAGGAACTTTTAGTTGCTTTTACTATTGTTGTTCCTATTGTGGTAATGGTGAGCATTACTCCAATGCCATCAGCTCAATAAAAATATGCTAGTATTCATTTTCTCCACTTCAATCTCAGTCTAAAAAATCTAACCCACTTCCTCTACTACAAAAATATGCTAGTATTCATTTTCTCCACTTTAATTTTAGTCTAAGAAATCTAACCCACTTCCTCTACTACGGATCCAGGAGACCCATAGGACACAATGGGCCCCAAAACCTAATCGTGCAACCAAGCAGGGAATGAAATGGACACCTGAGCTTCATCAACACTTTGTTGATGCCGTAGCACAACTTGGTGGCCGAGTCAGTAAGTCATTTGATGATTATGCTTGTGTTATCTTGATTTTCTGTGATTTTCTATTTATACTCTTGATTAAGCTTTTATTTGGTAGTTTTATGATCAAGTTACAGAGAAGGCTATATAATGAAAAAATGAGGAGGCATCTATTTCTCTATTTGTCCCCTGTTGTGAAAGATCCTTGATGACTTGCTTGTCAGAATAGTCACATGTGGGTGACTTGCTTGAAAGACATCTGACTTTGTGGAAGATTTCATGTTGATATTTAAAGAGTTTGTTAATGTTTAATCTCTGTGTAGATGTTAAACGAATTCTTTGCTTTCTTTCAGATGCCATACCTAAACGGATTCTTAGTCATTTATAGGTTTAAAGAACAAACTTCTCCTCTATTTATTAATTTTAGATCTACATTAATTCTTTTAAGTTAAGGACATCTTTTGTGTCATCCATGTTGACTAGACACTTGTAATGCATGCAGGAATATCGACGTGCATATCACGTGCAAATACAATGAAGGAATCGGCGGATATTATCTCCACTATGGAGAGTTCCTTGTAAGTACCATTCCCTCTTGTGCTTTCGTCAATTTCGAGGTGTCAAGAGGTCATCAATTGATCATATACCAAGTGGTAACTCTGAATTGAATTGTTGGGATTATTCATTTCTCCCTCACAATTTTTCTTGTTTGCTAAGAAATCGTCGATATTCTTGAAAAATACAGTATCTGACTTGACATTACTGAGATATAATTGCATTAGGATTTTTTTGATCTAATTATTCTATTTTTTGTATCAATCGGATTCTTTTGTTTATAAATTTGGTCTTCCAATAAAATTTGGTGTTTATATATCTTCATCTCTCTTTATTCGCCAATAGTTAAACCTTTTGAGCTTTCTGATTGATTGGAATAACATTGTTAGAGCTAATATTCCGATATTCGAATCTTTATTGCAAATCTGACTTAAATATCCTCAATAATTTTGATGACGTGCCATATCTGTTATGACGAGAAGTCTTGAGTATACCAAACTTTTCCCTTATTGATTATATTCTCGAGATCACTCATTAATAGAACATCAAGATGATCAAGTGCGGAAATGCTAAAAGTGCTTCGTTACTCTATCCAGCTGTCATATCTAGGATTTTGCAACGTATGAGGTTGGGTGCTCCTATGGCTTTTAGTAAGGTGCATGCCTTCTTACTACTAGTGGGCAAAGATGCAAATAATTTCAGCTCCAAATTAGACGAAGTTATCGTTGCATCCTGTTTGCAATAAGCTATGGCCTATTCAAGCTAATTTCAGTACATTTGATATTACCATATGTAGAAAAAGCAGTCGAGGATGGAAGCACTAAAACAACAACATGGTGAAGTTAACTTATTCATTGCTTCACCTATTTGACCAAATTTCAACCGATTATAATGTTTCATCCGATTTTTTGTTAACTCGATTATTATATCAACGGAAAGCTTGTGATCCAAACTTTTGAAAATGCGATTCGATTTTCAAAAATATGTTAGAATGGCAAATATTCGAAATTTGGGCCAAACGGATTGCCATGGTGGAAAGTTATCATATTTTGTCTATGAAATATCTAATCACTATGATTTTGGCAGTATTAGAAAGCTTATCACTTGATATTTGAAGTTAGATTAATAGATTGAACAAGTAATCTCAAGACTATTTTGTAAAATAAAAAAGTTATTCCGAGGAATTCATGCATACCCCGTTGTTCATTTAGGTTCGATCAGTATTAATAACTCTCCTAAATTGCTTACCATCAGCTCAACAAAAATAGGCTAGTATTCATTTCCTCCACTTTAATCTCACAGTCTAAAAAATCAAACCCACTTCCTCTACTGCATTAGACCCATAGGACACAATGGGCTCCAGTAGAGGGAACTTAATCATGCAGCCAAGCAAAGAATGAAATGGACACCTAAGCTTCATCAAAGCTTTGTTGATGTCGTGGCACAACTTGGCAGCCGAGTAAGTAAGTCATATGATGATTATGTTTTCAACCGATTATAATGTTTAATTCAATTTGTTGTTAACTCGATTTTTATATCAACAGAAAGCTTTTGATCCGAACTTTTGAAAATGTGATTCGATTTTCAAAAATATGTTAGAATGGCAAATATCCGAAATTTAGGCCAAACGGAATGCCGTGGTGGAAAGTTATCATATTTTTTCCATCACATATCTAATCACTATGGTTTTGATAGTATTGGAAAGCTTATCACTTGATATTTGGAGTGGGATTAATCGATTGAACCAAGTAATCTTAAGACTATTTTGTAAAATACAAAATGATACTATGAGGAATTCGTGCATACGCGGTGTCCATTTAGGGTTCTATCAGTATTAATAATCATCAACACTTTGTTGATGCCGTGGCACGACTTGGCAGCCGAGTATTATGCTTGTGTTATCTTGATTTTCTATGTATACTCTTGATTAAGCTTTTATTTGGTAATTCTATGATTAAGTTACAGAGAAGGCTATATAATGAAAAAATGAGGAGGCATCTATTTTTCTATTTGTCCCCTGTTGTGAAAGATCCTTAATGACTTGCTTGTCTGAATAGTCACATGTGGGTGACTTGCTTGAAAGACATCTGACTTTGTAGAAGATTTCATGTTGATGTTTAAGGAGTTTGTTAATGTTTAATTTCTGTGTAGATGTTAAACGGATTCTTTGCTTTCTTTAAGAGGCCATACCTAAACGGATTCTTGCACTTATAGAGAAGTCTCGTTAAAAGTCATTGACCAATTTAAAGAACAAACTTCTCCTCTGTTTATTAATGTTAGATCTACATTAATTCTTTTAAGTTAAGGACATCTTATGTGTCATTCATGTTGACAAGACACTTGTAATGCATGCAGGAATATCGACGTGCATATCACGTTCAAATACAATGAACGAATCGGCGGATATAATCTCCAATATGGATGGTTCCTCATAAGTACCATTCCCTCTTGTGCTTTCTTCAAATTCGAGATGTCAAGAGGTCATCAATTGATCATATACCAAGTGGTAACTCTGAATTGAATTGTTGGGATTATTCATTTCTCCCTCATAGTTTTTCTTGTTTGCTGAGAAATCATCAATATTCAAAGACTGTTTGTGTCATATACCAACTTCAAATGTTCAGGGACTATTTGTGTCATTATCCCTAATCGATACTCCAAAATATGTTAGCTCATTTCACATGAGCCTTTAAATATTTCATGCCTAGCTTACAATACCATTTCACGTTAGATCGATTTGTACAAATCTGTTTCGATAGCCTCTTTAGTAAGATTAGGAGTTTATGAGGGAAAATTATCAGATACTCATGTCTTGCGTTAGCCCGATCCAACGACTCAAGTGAAATGAGGTAACGTAGGTTGTGAGTACTCGAAAAAGGTTCATGACACCATGAGGGATCAGTCACGTGGTCTAGTACATGGTTTGCGAGTCAAAGGTCACAAATTTGGTATCCAGTCTATCCTTGGTCTCGGGAAATTTTTTTTGTCTGTGAAAGACAGACTCGAGATGAGATGTGTGGTTGTACACTAGTGTTAAGCTCTCCACTCGCATCATAGTAGGGTAAGGGCGACGGGACAATGGTGCGAAGGCTAATATTTTCATCCTGGTAAATCATTCAATCCTTACACCAAGAATGGATCTAATAAAAACTCAAAGAGAAAATCAGTGCTTTGCAGGAGCATAGACGCACTGATGTGTCAATCTTGCCTGGCAGACAAATAGCATATATCTTAGACCCATTGCAAATAAATAAGGGTTTTTACTAAGGTGAAAATCCCATATACTGTTGATCCAAGGATGATTGCGCAGATGGGCTCACTGCATCCGGAATATGCAAGTTCATTTCTTAATTACATTCTCTCCAAGAGTAAAAATCGTTTTCCACTTTCATCATAAGTTGAATGGAAACATGCGCTCAAAGATAGTTGCGTAATTGAATTCGTCCCACACGTTAATTAATCAATGATGAAAGTATAAATTATTTCCTTCACCAAAAGTCCTTATAAAAAAAAGGATTAATATCACAAAAAATCTCCAACCGGTACGGTTGTGACAAATTTATCCAAAACCAATTTTTTGACCACTAAAAATCTCAAATTAGTATATTTGTGACAAATTTACCATCCATTAAATTAGATTAATAAAAAAATCACAAACGAAGGGTAAAACCTCAAACTGGTACATCCGTCAAGTGTCACATGTCATTTAATTCAGTAATTTGATAGTAAAATTTAACAGAAACTAATATAGGATAAATTTGTCACAGATGTATCAGTTCGGTGTTTTTTATGGTCAAAAAATTAGTTTGAGGTAAATTTATCACAACCGTACCAGCTTGGAGTTTTCTGTGATGTTAACCTTAAAAAAAAAACTTGTTGAAAGAAAAATCTGCTCTTAATAAGAGCATCAGCTCACTTATAAATTAGCCTTTTGCATGGTGTACAAATGGCCCATCTTTGACCAATCTCAAAAGAAACAAAAAGATGAACCCCAAAATAAGGAAAACGTAAAAAAAAATTTCTTTTTTGACCAATCTTAAAGAGAAAATCCTCTCTCACATTAATTATTATCTGATAGCACAAAAAATCGCCCATCTTTGACCCAAGTCTTGTCGACGAAAAACTTTTCTAAATTGGCCTAGCATGGCTGACAAACGGCACATTACGACGGTTTTCATGGCCACCGACCACCCCACGACGATTATAAAACCAGCGACAAACGCCAGCGGTTGCACCCAACACTCCCAAAGCAACAAAAACCACCACCATGAGGCGTCAACTCCCACCCCTCGTCCTCCTCCTCCTCCTCCTCCTCGCCGTCCTCCCCCTCTCCGCGCTTGCCGCCGGCGAGTGGAACCCGATCAAGGACGTGCACGACCCGCACGTCAAGGAGATTGGGGAGTTCGCGGTCGCTGAGTTCAACAAGGAACCACAGCACGGTGCCGACCTGCAGTTCCAGGACGTTATCAAGGGGGAGACCCAGGTCGTGTCCGGCATGAACTACCGGCTGATCCTCGCGGCGAAGGATTTGGCGGGGGCAACGGTCAAGAATTACGAGGCGTGGGTGTGGGAGAAGCCGAGGTTGCACTTCAAGCAGCTCATGTCTTTCAACCCTGTTAAAGATGTCTAAAGAGCCTTTTGTGCATGTCCAAACTGTATGTGAATCAGTGAGGAACGTAATGTGTATGTTGCGTGATGTGTAAAAGCTCCTTGCTAGTGGAATGAGGAAAATAAAGTTTGCGCTCATGTGTCATGTTTCTGTCACTGGACCTGCACAGCCATGCATCCAATTCTTCGGCAAAGACGTGGATAACAAGCCAGCCATTACACTGAGGGATGATCAGTTCCCGGGTAGTCCGATTCCTGGCTGGTTTCTCATTTTTTGAATCGGGAATTGGCCCGCCTGGTCATGAAATCGGATTGGATCAATCTGACTAGTCCGGTCCGGTTCCTAAGTGGGCCAACGAAACCGACCGCAAGAGCCGTAATCAAGCTCGAAGGTAATCAATTCAGCCTCACTCAAGCTCCAGCAAACTCAGCACAATCAACGAGCTAAAACCCAACCAATCATACCCACGAAACTCTCCCGCAAGAGAGACGAAAAAAGCGAAACAAGAAGCAGATCTCACAAAGGGTCAGCGTTCGGCAACAAAAGAAGGGACCGACTTACTTCTCAGATTTGTAATGCATTTCATTCAGGCGTTTGAACGAACACACGTGATCAGTTCGAAGACGAGATCTAGACACATCATCGAAAACGGTGTATTAGGATCGGAAAAAAAAAATAGAGCATTGGATATTTACCTTGACGAGATGCGACTGCAATCACGATCGAAAAAAAAAAAAAACAGACCAAGAGAGGGAGGCTAGAGTCGAGACTCGAGTTGAGACGGCTAGATGGAGGTGTCGAGAGAGAGGGATGCGAGCGACTTAAGCGAGATGGTGGCATCTTAGAGTCGAGCAAGAAGAGAGTGACTGAAAGTCAAGCGAGCATAGGCATTGAGCGAGAGGGACGCGAGCAACTCAGGCAAGTGGGTGGTGCCCGCCGTCTGAGAGTCGAGCAATCGTGAATTAGGGCGAGTGACCCAGGCTGTGGATGGATGATTTGTGAAGGATTAGGGCTTTTTAGTTTTTTCAAATTTGTAAGATAAAGAAAATCGGTCCGATCTGAGTGGTCCAGGTGGGCGGTTCCACCCATGGAACCGAAAATTAGAGCAAAAATAACCAATTCAAAAAAATTGGAACTGGGAATCAGATCAGTGTTCCTAGGAATCGCCCAGACCCGGCTAGTTCATTCCAGTCTAGGCGATTCCTTTTACTCATCCCTAGTTAGATCCCAAATATTCAAAAACTGGAAAAAAAAAAAACTACATTATCAAAGTAAATATGACTACCTCAGAAATAACCATTTGAGACACGAGATTTTTTGCATCGACTAGCCATAATTCTGTCAATTTCGTTCCTCGCTATGAAGCTCACACCGTCTTGACTTGAGTGTCGGAGGGTCCTCCAATGACGTATGCAATATATATTATTCAGTGGTGGATTGAAGGAAGTAAGTTCGTTGCCTTATGCATGAATGCACTTTTCACTTCTAAAACATCTCTTAATGTTCTATTTTGCTTAGACCAAAAATTATCCTGGAATATTTTTTTTTTTAGTGGACACGATGTGGGTGAATTTTAAGCAATCGTCACCTGGAAGTAATTATGTAATCGAAGTCATTCACATGTTAGCTAATTAACTATGAAAATGTAATTTAATTAGCTATGAAAGTCTAACTTACATCGATCTAAGGTTGGCAATGAAAGTTACTAAAATCCTTAAGATCAAGTCTAGCATGGCGGGCAAATGGCCCATCTTTGACCTATATCTCAAAACGAAACAAAAAGATATAACCTCAAAAGAGGGAACGCTATTTAACTTCTCTTTGGCCACAGGTGAATCTTAAAGAGAAAATCCGAGGTCCGCAAGAGTATCGGCTCCCTCATAAGTTAATCGCCCATCTTTGACGCATATATGTCGATGAGGGTCGGTTAGTTCGAAAAAAATAGTTTTTTAAAGATTATCTTTCGACTTTATGATATTTTGTTGACAGAAAACTAATCGATATACGAAAAAAAAAATTCATGGAATGAAAACAACAAGCTTAAATTGCGGGAAAACGATTTCCCCTTCCGACAAAAAGGAAATCATTTTCTCTGAATCACCAAACAAATGAAAACTAAATATTTTCTTCGAATATGATTTTTATGGAAAATATTTTTCATTATCATGAAATTTTCAATGAAATAAACACACATTGAAATAAAGTCTTGTCAAAGATAAAGGTCTGTGCTTTTCAAGAGCATCATCGCTTTGATAAATTACTTTTGCATGGCTGACAAATTGCAAACGTGAAACTATCTCAAGAAAAAGAAATTAGAAAAAAAAAAAAGAAGGCAATATCCCAACGGTCTTCCTTTCCGCCGACGCCTCCCCGCGACGATTACAAAACACCAGCAACAGAACACCAGCAATTTACACACAACACTCCCCAAGCAAACCATAGCAAAACCACCGCAATGGGACACCAGCTCCGTCTCCTCCTCGCCGTCCTCTCTCTCTCTCTCGGCACTCGCCATCGGCGCGTGGAACCCGATCGATGATTTCCATCACCCTCTCGTCAAGGAGATCGGGGATTTCGCCGTAGTGGAGTTCAACAGAACAGGGGCATGCAACACAGGGCCAATCGCCAGTTCCAAAGCGTGATCAAGTGGGAGAGACTCGGGTCGTGTCCAGCACGATCTACCGGCTGGTCATTGTGAGGGGGGGGAGCGATTCGGCGGTGGTCAAGAATTACAAGACGTTGGTGTGGGAATGATGTTAAAAAAGAGCCTCTATTGTAATCAAGCGATATCATGTTATAGCACTAGACACGTCAAACGGATGGGTCAGGCCGAAAGTGGTTTGTCCTGAATTGACTCATTTAACCCGTTTTGCCTCATTTTCTTGCAATACATATCTAGTGAATCATACATAACCCAACTCATACCCGATTCAATTCATATTGTTAATACCCTTAGGCTGCGTTTGGTTGTCCGGATTTCTAAACAGGATAGGATAGGATAAGAAATCCTGGGATTTCTTCATATCCTATCCACTGTTTGGTGGACTACGGATTTAAAGTAGGATAGGATAATTTTTTTTTTTTTTGCTATTCACGGGTCCGGAAGAGTCGGTGAAGGAAAAAAAGCCGAGAAATTTTTTTGGTGAAAGGGCACAAGGTGTGGGGATGAAGATGACGGCGAGTGGAGTGTAGGGTTTCTGAAAAAATAGGCATTAGAAATCATATCCAGGTCTATCCCACCCCCTCAGATTTTTTTTATCCGGGCTATATCCGACCTTATCCTATCATGGACCACCACCAAACATAGGATAGGATAAAACATATCATATCCTGACTTTTGTCCGGTCGACCAAACGCAGCCTTATATATTTAACCTAATAAAGGAAAATTCATATCTAAATTGAAGCGAGAGCGCGGATAAGCAAAGCGTGAGAGAGAGTTATGAAGGTAGGTTGGGTGTAAATAAGTTGTGAACCCATTTAACATCCGTATTATTTTAGGTTTTACCATCTAAATCTATTTACTAGATATAAGTAACCAATGTAACAACATAACCCATCAAATACGAGTTTATGATATATTTTGACAGGTTTATATGGCACGCAATTGTTTTATGATTCGCTGGAAAAGGCAGTTGGAAATTTTTTTTTTTTGTTTTTCTTTGATTTTGCTGTAGTTATCGTCATAGTTCCCATCGGCACCTTTTCAATGATTTAAAGAAAAAAGAAACAAGATATGAAATCGACGGACTCGACCGTGCACGAGATTTCGCTACGGTGCACTCGCCCGCACCCGATCCCGCCACGCCGGACCGCGCCTAGGAAATAACGGCCAAAACCGTCCGCTGGGCGTCCCACGCGAAGCAAATCGGGTTTGGATCTTATTTTTTATTAAAAAAATAATTAAACTAATTATAATCCCGCGCGACCGGTCGTCTCCGTCAACACATGAATAATCAAAAAAATAAAAAAAAACGAAAATAATAATAATAATAATAATTAGGAAAAAAAAAAAAAGAGAGGAAATTAACAAGGAGCTCCCCGTGTTTCTCTGCGCTCACTGTTTCCTTCCCTCCTACCTCGGGCGCTGCGATCGGAGATCGGAAACCCTAGGAGGGAGAGAGGGGAGGGGGAGGGGAGGGGGATTGCGGAGGTGAGGCAAGATAGGAATCTGCATCTCCCGACCGCCGGAGGCCCGCGGCGGGTCCTCGCCGGCGTCGCTACGGCGGCGGCTCTCGTCGCCGCAGCAGCAGCAGCCGGCGCCGGCGGCGACCCCGCAGCCGCCGCAGCCGCTGCCGCTCCTCCCGGATCCGAAGATGAAGGGGATCTTCAAGAACAAGCCCCGGACTCCGGCCGACGTCGTCCGGCAGACGCGGGAGCTCCTCGCCTACGTCGATAGCGGCGGCGGCGGCGGCACCGAGGCCCGCGAGGCCAAGCGCGAGGAGAAGGTCCGGCTCTGTTCCTGTTTTGTTTTTTTCTTTCTCATTTTTCGTCTCTGTCGTCTGATTTCGGTTCGGGTGGTGTATGGGCTTAGAAAATCTGATGTTTCTGATGGCGTGGCGTGAAAAGAAATCGATGATTGAAGCAGAGTTTAGCTGAGAGGGACTTGTTCGTTCTGTCTTTGGATTGAATTCGGATACTTTTGATAGATTTGTTGGCGATTCACATTGTTTATATTGGAATTGCATAGTCATGTTGGATAAGGAGTGGAGGCATTGTATTTTACCTTCAGTCAATATAACATTGTGAATCTTATTATAAAATACACATTCGCGCCTCTCGGAAGCAGAGATTTTCGATTGTGAGAGAGCTTGCGTATCACCATCTCTTGGCTTGAGGAGCTTTTTGGGTTTAAGTTTATACTGCTTTACCTTCGCTAGTTTTGCCTCCAACATGAGAAATCGGTTGGATGGCCTTTATTTATGTAACTTTCCCATGCCAAGTGAAACACTCGGAAGTTCCGGTTTGTATTGCTATGTAAAATCTGTTCATAGCATGGTGAGGATTGGGCTAAAAGTTCCTCCCGATGCTTCACAGTCTGCACGCACAACTCTTTATGGTGGATGAAATATGTTGTCACGAGTCTTGCATATTTTATCTGCTGAGAAGATGACCTTTTTAATGCATTAATACTTTTACCAGGTGGAGGAGTTGTACAGAAATTTAAGGGAGTTGAAGTCGATTCTTTATGGAGATAGTGAATCCGAGCCAGTCGCAGAAGCTTGTGCGCAGTTGACACAAGAGTTCTTCAGAGAAGACACATTGAGGCTAGTGATTCATTGCCTTCCAAAGTTAAAGTTGGAGGTAATCTTGCCTGAATCTTTCGAAAATTGCTTCTGAGGCCAATTTCGTGGGACATTTTTCTAGCGTACGTTGTTAGTTGTCTTGGTTCTGCAGTGATCAATGAGAAGGACAATTTTGTGCAGGCTCGAAAAGATGCCACTCAGATTGTCGCAAATCTTCAAAGGCAGCAAGTTCAGTCACGATTGATTGCGTCTGATTATTTGGAAGCAAACTTCGATCTTTTGGATACTCTGGTAGCAGGGTAAGCTACCTTTTCAGTCTGTAGAGTTTCGGTACTGTAATTCTGCGGTTACTTTCTTCTTTATGTTGTTTAGGGAATAGGTTGCGCTTTTTGTTAGATAAGCTTCATTCTCAGAAGAAAGTTTTCCAACTCTTAGAATGTCCATGTGCTCGCAACTTTTCCATATTGCTTGTTGCCATGTCTGTAGCTAGAAAGCTCTCCACATGTTTGTGGAACTAGGTGTTTATGCCATTTCTTGCACTGAAATAGTAATAGATGTAACTGTCCCACGAATACTGTCGAGCTTATAGCTTTCTGCAAACTGGAATTTCTTTTACTATGTAAATTTCGCCTAGAACATGATCCTGGCAAGAGAGTTTATTTGAGTGGATGACCATATGGTTCTTATATTCTGAAGTAACTGGAATTAGTCCATTAAGTTGGTAAGTTTGGATACCTCTTGAGTAGTTTCAGGAGCTGTTTTATTTTTGACAGTAGAAGGTGACTGGTAGAGTTCTTCAAAACCATTATTTTGAGCAGTTTGCTATTTCAGTTTTGCTTGGGACTCTACTGAGCTTTGTCCATCTATCAGCATTTTGTTCTTTCTCCACCAATAGCAGCCTCTGATTTATAAATATTGTTTGCTCTAGTTATGATGACACAGAAATGGCTCTGCACTATGGTGCAATGCTTAGGGAGTGCATTCGTCACCAGAGTGTTGCGAGGTGAGCATGAAAAACTTGGGTTTACTTAAATTTGCTCATGGTAGTTGAGGCTATTCATCTGCTGTTAGCAATTTAATCTCCTCTCAAGTCGTGATAATTAGCCATATCATTGCCAAATTATGAACAGCATTGCATATCATGGATATTTTGAGGTTAAAATACTCATAAAATGAACAATGCTTTCTTTTTCCAAGAGAGAGTAAGGTTATTATTAGTTGTGATCTTCTTTTGAATAATGAGTATATTGGATTGATGAAATTGGTTTTCCTCACCTCAAAATTTTTGCTTTTGCTTTGATTAACTATAGCAGTTTCTCCGACTCCTGTGAAACATCTATTTCTGTGTGTATCTCGTTGAACAGTAGCATAATTGAAAATACTTTATTATAGTACTAAGATTAGATCATATGTTTTGGGTGTTCAGTGGTTGCATAAATGGATGTTGAAGTGCCTACTATAGGGTGCTGTCTTATATGGAATATTCTTCTCAAATTTGTTGATTTCGGTCGAATTCTTGGGCTACTCAATCGGAGTCCGGATTTAGATCCCCTCCCGTGTCCTGATGATGGTTGATTGATCTCAAGTCTATTGAATAAATTTGATGGAAGCTATCTAGCGATTTTTTTCTTTTTTGTTATGTTTAAGATTTTCAAAGATGTTATTTATGTCCTACCTTTTCTTAAAATGGTTTTTCTTGAAATATAGGCATCTTTCCTTGATTTAGCAAAGTTTCTCGTAATATTTTTCAGGTATGTGTTAGAATCCGAGCATGTGAAGAAGTTTTTCGACTATATACAGCTTCCAAATTTTGATATTGCTGCAGATGCTGCTGCAACATTCAAGGTCAAATCTTTACCTGGATCTCTCTCTCTGTCAAGTGCGCATCCGTAGTTTTCATTGCCATTTAGTTGCTTCATCCATTCAGACTAGTTGTTTATTGCCTGTTCTAATGATTGTACAAGACCTGTGAGCTTACACTTGCACTTCTGTGAACCTTTTTTAGCATTTGGTTTCAGGAACTGTTGACCAGGCATAAATCTACTGTGGCTGAATTTCTGACCAAAAATTATGACTGGGTGAGTAATGTCATCTCTGTTTCATTTTCGTGCATGTACCTTTAGAGTTGTACTTTTTGTCTTTCAAATGTATTGCCATTGGATAAACTGATCAACATGCATGCTCATGCTGTTCTGTGTAATTTATTTCATTCTATTTATCTTCCTTTTTAGCCTAAACACAACATAGAGTGCATTTGCATAATGGGGTTCCATATAGCTAACCCCATTTACTAAAACAAGGCTTGGTGGTGCTGGCTGTTGTTCTAGTATGTCTTTGAGCTTGTTTGAAGGTGTTGTAGAAGTATATTTCAGTCCTTCTGTGGGAGAGCACATTGAGGATGTCTATTCTTTAGATGAGTAGTAATATTTGGGATGTGGAATGCAAGTGTTGACGTTGTTTATGGCGTGCACGCTTGACATACTCTTATCCAAGCATCTGATTTCATAATTCTCTTTGGTACACGTTTATTCTGACCTGGGCAACATGTGCTTGCCATGTTTTAGACTCACTCAGTGGGTGGGTGTTCTTGAGATCTAAAGAGAGGTATGGGCAACATGTGCTTGGCATGTTTTAGACTCACTCAGTGGGTGTTCTTGAGATCTAAAGAGAGGTATACATATGATTTGTAATATAAGTATCAGCTGTTTGATTCAAACCCCCTCAAGGTTAGCAATTTTAACCATATGAACATACCATCAGGAGTTCTGATGATGTGAACGTGAATGACCTTTTCTCCCACTTCTTTTGCTGATTGTTCTTATTCTGAATTTTGGCTTTCTGTTATGTAATTGCTACCTGATTTGATTGCTGTTGATTTCTTCTTGTAGTTTTTCGCTGATTATAACTCCAATCTATTGCAATCTTCCAATTACATTACCAGAAGACAAGCTATCAAGGTAAATTTGATGGTTACTGGGATATATTTTTGAAGTCAACAAAATAGGACACTTTTACCCATGAATGCAAAGAATCCTCTTACCACTATTCATGTGAAAGTTGCAAGCCTTTTCCATTCTAACAACCAGGTTTGGAGGATTGGGAAAGGGGCAATCACTGGTATAGGCAGCACTTTTAATTCTTGTGGTCTATATGGTTCATGTAGGTCTTGTACTGCTTTCTTCTAGACGTAAAAATACATTTCACATTTTCTCTCAGCTTATGGTCATTAGGCCTTTGGTGTGCAAATTGATTGGCCCTATTATTCTGTGAGCATGGTCACTGGTGTTTCTCGTCTTCTTCTTCCTGTGATAGATCATCAATTGCTCTGAGAGATCTGCTCTGGTTATCTTGTCTAGTCCCCTCAAAGATAGTTTTTCCTAATACATGTCACGAAGTTAGTCCTTGGGGCATAGGCTTTTGAGAATCCAGGATATTGATTTGTCTCTAGGTGCGGATGGAGGAACCATATAATTTGTGTACCATTACAAAGATGTATATTGTTGTTTCATAATCAGCTGAAAGGTTTTCTTAAAATATTTAAAAAGGTCCTTTGTTTTAATTTTCGTGGGGTTAGCCAAACAAATTTTCCTTTATTCCTTTAGGGATCGGTGATTTGTGTCAGGCTATGTAGAGAGAAGTTATAAATCTTTGGTCAATAAGATTTTCAAGGTTTTTCACGTGCCATGTATGCTTTAAGTTGGGGTTATTTTTTCTTTAATTGTGGAGCCCTGACCAAGTTCATATGCTAATTATTAACTCATTTTGACAGCTTCTTGGGGATATTTTGCTGGATCGTTCTAACTCAGCTGTCATGATGCGTTATGTGAGCTCGATGGATAATTTGATGATTCTCATGAATCTTCTCAGGGTATATGTCTATCGAGATCTCTTCTTCTTCTTCTTCTTCTTCTTCTTCTTGTTATCGAGATCTCTTCACTTAATCAAATACGAGTCAATTCTTTTTTAGAACATGAAGCTCACATCCACTCTTAACAGAACAATTTAAATGAACTTCAGAGGGATCCATGGTTTTCTCCTTCAACACGTGACCAACTCTGTAATCTTGGAAGGGAAATTTGAGTCTGTGTTTTTATTGCCAAGTCTTAGACATGACAGTATCTTCCCGAGAGCTAATACTATTCGTTGAATGAATGGTGCACCTCTTTGCAGGAGTCGAGCAAGAGCATACAGATGGAAGCATTTCATGTCTTCAAGGTATTTATACGACGGCCACACCCCGAAAATCACGACTTTGGCATAATGACCCGCCACGTCTCTTGCTCACTCACAACTCTGAATCTTGACAGCTATTTGTTGCTAACCAAAATAAGCCTCCTGGGATCATCAGCATACTCGTCGCGAACCGAAGCAAGCTTCTTCGGTTATTTGCCGATTTCAAATTCGACAAAGGTACCGCACCCCTCTTCCTCCTCTTTTTCCTCGATCCTCTTGCATTCAGCACGTCACAGAACAAGCTCCGGAGCCTGATCGCACCCGCTTCTGTCTATTTCCTGACAGAGGACGAACAGTTCGAGGCAGACAAAGCTCAAGTCGTGAGAGAAATCTCAGCCCTCGAACCGCATGATCGAACATGAGATCGGATTCGTCCTTTTTTCCTTATTGTCCGGGCCAGGTCTTCATGTTTTGTGGCTATAATTCCGGGCCCCCTCTCCTGTACTATGCTGCCGAGCTCCCGTGATGTGAAATCACACACTGAATGTAAATTATCCCCCCCCACACAAAAATAAAACCTATCCCGAGAGGGGGTTTCGATAAGATCTCCTGGTGGTCCCATGGGATCAGTTGCTCCTTCAATTTTTCTTGGAGGTTATTAGATGAGGGGATGCTTTCATGGACCTAGAGAAGAACCATAAATCAGTACGACTTGGAGGGTTGCATGAGAGGTGAAGGTGGGTTGTTCTCCACCAAAAAATCGAGACCCTACACATGATCGTGTCACCGTGCGACGTTGCTCGCAACTCTCACTCTCGTGACAGAAACAGGGCGATGGGATAGCGGGATAGGATATGACTCTGACCCATCACTCCCTGGTCGGTGGTCCACTCTCTCTCTCTCTCTCTCTCTCTCTCTCGTTTTCGGTCGACTGAAAAAGTCATCGGCTTTGTAAATTATCAAAATAAAAAAATACTATTTTTAGAATTCAATTGCCACAATTAAAAATTTTAAGACTAAATTGACAAAAGCATAATGAGCTTAAAATATTTTATATAATTTTTCCCGTCACTCGACCCATCACTCCCTCGTCAGCAGTCTTCTCTCGTTTTTGGTCAGTTGAAAAAGTCACTATTTTGTGAATTATCAAAACTAATACTATCATTTTTAGGATTTAATTGCCACAATTAAAATGTTCAGGATTGAATTGATAAGGATTGAATTGATAAAAGTGCAATAAGTTTAAGGCCTTTTATATAATTTTCCCCATCACTCGACCCTTGACTCTCAGGTCGGCAATCCTCTCTCGTTTTCGGTGGGCTAAAAAAGTCATTGGCTCTGTGAATTGTCAAAACAAGTAATACCATCTTAAGGATTCAATTGCCATAATTAAAATTGATAAAAATGCAATAGATTTAAGACCTTTTATATAATTTTCCCCATTACTCGACCCATTACTCCTAGGTCGGCAGTCCTCTCTCGTTTTCGATTGACTGAAATAGTCACTGGTTAGGACTCGATTGCCACAATTAAAAGATTTAGAACTGAATTAATAAAAGTGCAATAAATTCAGGATTTTTTTATATAATTTTCCCGTCACTCGACCCGTCACTACTCTCATGTCGGCAGCCCTCTCTCTCGTTTTTGGTCGACTGAAAAAGTCACTGGCTTTGTGAATTATAATAAAAAAAATTGAAACCACTTTTGGCTAAAAGAATTTCTTTAAAAAAATTGAATGAAAACCTGATCACAATAATTGAGGGGGCTCTCTATCTTTTCGTAGGGTGATACTTTGAGGATTAGGAAGCATTCCAACCTCATAGGCTCATCCTCTGTTTGAGGTGGCTTTTAGGGCTACATGTTTTTGCTTGCTCTCTCTCCCTCTCTCTCTTTCACTTTTAGCATCTATTTGACTTCGATTTGATATCAAATAAGGTCAATTTTGTGAAATTAATAATATATGGATGCATAAAGTACTTTGATTTTGTCTCGTCGTCTTTTGAAAAATAAAAAAAATTATTCGTTTTTATTTCTATTAAACAAAAAGTTCTGTCGATCACATCCTTAAGTTTATATTTTATAAATTTATATTGATTAGGTCGTTTTCTAAACTGTTAAATATAGGAATGGCAACAAGATGAACGCGTAATCCCCTGCCCCGAGTAACATCTGAAGCCGTCCTCTTGTTCTAATTACTTATACTAAACTCGGAACCCGCTCGAAAACCAGCTATATGTATATTTTTTTTAATATGCTGAGTAAATTCATTGAATAATATAATTAACTCGTATAAAAAGAATAACAATATTTGTACAGTAAGTCAAGTTTGAATTTGAAGGTACATGTTGATCCAAATACCAAGCATGGTCCAGACCTACATGGTTACCACCAGCCCCAAATTCATCCTCCAATCCAAAAACATTCCGAACATATCCTTATGAGACTGCGGGCAAGTCGAAAACTTGATTTATTACGATCAGTCGCCATCCCTGGCATGAAATGAGCAATTACTTATCGGACAAGACTCGATTATTGTGAATAGAAAGTGACTTTTCGACGTAAATTAGATGAGAGACCTAGGTTGCAACTTGCAAGATTAATAAATAGGATGAGAGGCTATCAAATTGACAAGTTAGAGACTGATTTGGTGCAACAAAGAATGTGGGCATGAAATTGAGGAGAAAAGGTTGCATCCTGTGGCAATGCACAATCGACGTGGCTTGAAATCTGGTGAACAAGAACCTATGTGCCGTCAACCGAGAAATCTTGATTTGGTACATCCATCCGAAACCACATTGGTCAAACTCCAGCTTCTTATGAACTGTTCTTATCTTCTCGAACCGTCCATCCAACCTTTTTCTATCTCTTTGACAACCATAATATAAAATCAGGAAAAAATTATACTATATGGTTTTTTTATTTTATTTTGGGCCATCTTTTAAATTGGGGTTTGTTCAAGTTGAGCTTCTCCGCTGACATACTTTTGCGGTCACATCCTTTTCAAACATACTTCTTTACACAGGTGTCAGCTTCCAATACTGACCAAAAAAAAAATCACAAATATCTGCCCAACGAATGAATTAAAACTTTGTTTGACCAAAAGAAATTAATTACAACTTTACAAACATATTAACAAAGGATGAGCATCGACACACCGTAATCTCCTCCTTTAAATATTGGTGATTTCTATGATTGAACCAAATAACTAATATTTAAAATCGAAAAAACTCCCATTTTTTGTTTTGTTACGCCTTCTCAATAATTCCACCAGAAGGCGTTAAAGAGCTTCAATTGAAGAAGATAGAGCCTTTCGATAAAAAAAAAAAAACAAGAAGAAAGAGCTTCATTTAAGCTCGTTTTTGTCCTTTTTCTTTTCTCGAATGATGAAGATTTTGTGAAACCACTGCTAATATGAACTCACGACCTCTCATGCTTAATATCATGAGAAGTTTTGTGGGATCATTTTTTATGAATACGTAATTTAATATTTGAACATTCTAACAAGATAGTGTTTTGTTGAAAAATCATTATATTGACTTTAACATTGTATAATTTTTCATTAATTATAGTGCCACATGACGTTGCTTAGGTCTGCAACATCACGATTAGGTTCACAGGAACAGAGCAAAAGATTTTGGATCCGAGGGGCACTATTATCACTTTATGGGGGTCTCTTTTTGTAAAATGCTCCACTTTATTTCAAATATTTATTTTTTAAATTCCTTCTGAAAAGAGATAAAAAGGGGGCCATGGCATATGGAGTGGCGTGACGCCATGGTTATGTTCAAGCACGCAATTTGATATGCATACCATGATTGTCAGATACGCGTGACCTCATCATTACAATCGCAAATTCACACATCACCACTCTTTAATTGCCAAAAAAATCAGCCAACTTAGGTTAATGAATGATAAGATTGTGTTTACTTTACTCCAACGAAGGTAGTAATACGACGGTAATCGGTTTTACGTGAAGCATCTTATAGGGTGCATTTGGTTCATCATTTATTGAAGATATTGAGCCTCAAAAGACACTTGTGCCAAAGTTGAGGTGTTTGGCAACATAATTTTTCAAAGCTTTTAAGCCAAAATTGGCATTAGCATTGGCATTGACATTTTAGCATTTTTTCAGGGGAAAGGATATCAGAAGTACCATAATTTTCTGACGACATTCACTTTAATGTCAAAACTTTTTGGCAGATCATTTAAGTGTCACTTTGATTAAAAAAAATGATCACTTAAGACACGCCTCAATTTGGACATCGACGAAATATGACGCGATAATATTTTAACATTTTTTTTTTCGATCGATGTGGCTCTCGCCGCACTCGAATCGACATAATTACCCTAAACAACGTCGCTAAAGATGTTCGCCCTGAATTTACACCATAATTTGGACAAATCGAGCCACTTCCCCTCTTCTCCCTAATTCGGACCGAGGCAATTTGCGGCAGATAGAATCGCAATTCGCAACAGAGAACGACGCCATGTACGAAGCTGACATCGACGAAGAAGAAAGCCTCTGTATCTTAGCAAACGCTTGCAAGGTCTCCACTCCTCCTCCTCATTCCCACCTCCCCATCGATTCTTCGACACTCCAAAGAAGCTCAGCTTCAAATTTGCTCCACAGAAAACGAAAAAGAAGGAGGAGAAGATCAATCTCTCGATGAGTAATAAGGAGAAGATGATGATGAAGACGAAGACGAAGTCGATTGTGGATATCTACGTTTGGATTGTCGAATTTTCTGTTTAGAATTTCCAATTTAGCATTCATGTGATTTGGGGGGATTTCAGGGTTGGGACAAGGATCCGAGCATTTTCGAGAAGTAAGAAGAGCCATCCCACGGTCCATGTGAAGCTCTCCAATTCTTTGAAGGGCCGAAATTATTTCTTTCTTAACTAAAAAAAAGTCACCTAAGCATTCAAATGACATCTATAAAGTCACGTAGGTACTTAAGTAATCGTTTTTTTTTTTCGATGTAGCACTTAAGTGATCCGTAGAAACGTTTTGGCACTAAAGTGTTTCAATCTTGACCTCGCTAATGTATTCGGGTTCCCATTTTGACCACATGAAAACATTGCTTGTTGTCTCTCTCGGAACTCTTCTAAATCTGTGCTTGCCTGATCGTCGAGGTCGCCGAGGCCGAGGCCGCCCAGGTCGAGGTCGAGGGTCGCTATCGTCAAGAACATGATGAAAGCCTGCTGAACGTAGGGCAAAGGATTTCGAACGCTACAAAGGAGAGTGAGGCGAAATCCCCAAGAAATCGAAAGAGCTTAAAATCCGGAGAAATGACGAGTCTTTACTCTAGAACTTTCGGAAGTTCATCGATAATTGTCGAATTCCGTGACCAATTCTTGAGGATTTCGTCTCCCATCCCCTTCGTCGCGTTCGAAAAGAATCCCCTAACCTATTCCAAGCGATACTTCAACAAATAGATATATAAATAGGGAGATAAATAATGCACGTACTAACTTGTTTAAGACAAAAGTACTTTTGAAAAAATATTGGTGAAAATTCTCGAGGGTTGTCAACATGGAAACACAATCCCGTTCCGCAATCCAAATCCCCATCTCAGATTGCGACTCGGGCGAGTCGAAAACTCGATCTGTTACGATCAGCCGCCATCCCTAGCTAGACAAGA